ATAAGCAATTAAATGCCCAATATTACTTAAAAATGATGAAGAAGACCTTCAAAAAGCTATTTCCAAATCGAAGAAAAGAATATTCTAGATGTAGCTTTATATAAGCTGTTTAAGCAAGTTTATTTATGGATGAAAGCTTAGATAAGGAACTGAAAATCACAGTTAGTATGTTAAATCTGTTACACAGCTCTATTGTGCAACCATAATTGGAATATATTAACATTTTAGGTGACTTCATCTCTAAATTGGATCATGAAGATCTAAAAAACTGCAACTAAAATAAGGAGTTGTGCAGTTGACACTTAGATTTGTCCACAGATAGAACTTAGTCACTCGTGATAATTACTTTTACACTATATATTTGTTCTAATGGACTGAAAACAGAAAACATTCAGATGCTTCTAGAACAAACTCTATCCCATTAACTCTGCAAACATGTACCTAAAAATATACACATAAAGTGTTGGCATCAAATATAATTTCTCACCAACGTTAAATGGAAATGTTTGAACCTTATCACCACCAGGGAAAGGACCATCTGTAGCCCAAGACTTCCTTAACATTGATATGTCTGTGGGTTCTTCACGCTGTTTTCCAGGCATGGTAGAATATGGTATATTTGAGATGTGTGCAGATTTCCTATCTTCATTTCTAGATTGAACAGTAACAGGATCAGTATGGAACAATTTAATTGGTGACTGGGTGCTAGGATATGACATGTTGGCCTCTTTGGAAAGGATGTGGGGAGAATAATTATAATCTTTTCTGACAAACTGAGCTGAAAAGAAAAACAAACAATAGAAATAGTTACATGGATGTCATGTATGTCATGTACATATCTAGACATGATTTAGCAAAATACTTTTTGACATCATCAGAGCATATGCTATTTCTAGAAAACATTACCAGTGAACATATCTAGTATGATGTCTATTGATAGACCTGTCCTTGGAAAATTGACTCAGATAACAGGTTTATCTGGACTGATTGAAATGCTTCAAAATATGTACCCAGAAAGCATGCAGAAATCATCTAATCCTCACAGTCCAAACATACTTTCTTGAACATCAATAAGTAGTATTGAATTATTTTTCATACTGAATGTGACTTTTGTATCCCAACTGAACATCGTATTAAAGCAAGGACATTACTACAAGCAATTATTATCATCATTTTATCTGGGGCTTTTAACATTTTTGCATAGAATGGGGGGAGTGTGTGTGTGTGTGTGAGTGTGTGTGAGAGAGAGAAGAGAGGGAGGGAAGGAGGGAGGGAGGGAGCGAAGTTGGCCTAAGCCCTTTGAGCAAACCAACCGGAAGAGCAAGGTCTAGGAACATGCATGTTGAGCACATAAATAAGAAGCTACAATTAATAAAAACCAGGATGGGTTTGATAAAGCAAATTTTGCTAATAATTATTACTAGCCTAACAATGCCATTGATGCAGTGTACTTGGTCCATAGCAAAGCTTGTGGCAAGAGTGCCTTATGATATTCCTTAATAAAATAAAATAGCAACAAGTGGGTTGGATCAGATTTCTGCAAGACCTTGATGGACTTCTGTCAGAACTAAGGGCGAAATAAAAAGTTACCAAGTTTGTATATGATACAAAATTGGGAGGGATGGCTAGTATTTTGGAAGAAAGAGAGAACATTCAAATATAACTGAATTGATTTGAACAGTGTGTTGGAATGAGTAATACAGCTAGTCCTTGACTTACGACCACAATTGAGCCCAAAATTTATGTTGATAAGTGAGACATTTATTAGGTGAATTTTGCTCTATTTTATGAGCTTTCTTCCAACAGCTGGTAAGTAAATCACTGTTGTGTACTTAATAACATGATTGTTAAGTAAAGCAGGCTTTCCCATTGACTTTGCTTGTCAAAAGGTCACAGGAGACTGCACCTATGATAAATATTAAGCATCAAGCATCTAAATTTTAATCATGTGACCATGTGTATGCTGCAATGGTCATAAGTGTGAAAAACGATTATAAGCCACTTTTTTTCAATGCCATTATAACAGTCACTAAATAAACTGTTCTAAATGGGGACTACCTTATAGAGTTTAACAGAAAGAAATGTAGAACTGGGGAAATAAAGGAAAGGTACCAGTATAGGATTAGGTGAACTGGTTTGAGAGTAAAATGTCTAAAAGGAGATCCAGGTGTTCTTATTGACCAATTCAATTTCTGGACCATACAAGATCTCACTGCAGGAACAGACTGTCCCACAAAGTGGTGAGTTCTACCTCACTGGAGACCTTAAGAGAGAGACTGGATGGCCAACTGCCAGATATGATGTACTGCAGTATATCTTATGATAGAAAGGGAGTTGTACAAGATTATTGTAAGGTACATTTCAACTTTACGAGTATGAAAGAAAATATTATTGTTCACAGAAAATGCTTCATGTAGTATAGCTAGTACTAAAGCTGTTCTACTACACCTTTTCAATTTTATCAACATGTTTTATGTGAAAGTATCAGTTGACCTAAAGACAATTGAGTTATATCATGGACCATAGGAATGAAAGGATGCTGAATGAATGCTGATTGAATACCAAAATGAGAGACCAATAGTAAACAAGTTTACTGATTATTTTGGCCATTTTGATGAGGTTTGACTCACAAAATATGAAGGAAGAGTAAATGGTTTGAAAGGAAGAGAAAACCAAAAAAGTTGTGGTTGGATGTACAGTAGGTGATAGTCCTCAAAAAGAAGGAGACGAAAAGCCCCAAGAAAGCAATATATAAACCAATCTACAGGTATGAGGGAAGGAAGTTACGCGTTAGAAAAGTATAGTAAGACATGGGAAGTATAAATACAATTTCTTTGTGTAGAATAGATCTTTCTTTTCCTTATTTTGTGTCCTTAATTTCTTTGGATTGCAATGTTTTCTTCAATTTTTGTGCTTTCTATAATGGTGTTTACCCTGAAAATGAATACTATGATAAGGATGCAGGGATGCAAGTAAAAACTCATAGAAATTAAAATTGTGAAACTCCTGAACATGTGTATGTGCATGTATGCACATTCATAAATGAACAAATCAGGATAATTTGTCATCCTCCTATTTAAATCATGTTTAGTCTTTCCTACTTGGCCCAATATACTTCCTATTATACAGATTTGACCAAAGTGTCTTGTTCCGATAGATGAATTCACAAAGGTACTACTAAATTGTATGTATTAACTTGGATAAACAATGAAACATATTTACAATATTTATATAACAACTGCTTTTAACAAGCTAACTGGCATGTTTCTTACCTGTTTTTACTGATGAACCAGTATCAGTATATGAAGGAGAAATCTGAGGTGCTATGAACTGGGCCTGACTGTTGTTCTCACACTGCTGACTCAACAATGTGCGTAATTCATAATTTTCTCTGAGCAGCTTAATTTGATTTTTGAGATGTGCATTTTCTTCCTGAATTCTTTTTATCCACTCTCTTTCCTCTGTCATCCTCCTCTTCCTCACTGGTGAGGAAGGATTAATTTATTAGGGACAGCCTTGGCTAGACAGGTCACCTCAGTGTTTCAAGAGGTTCAGAGGAAATTATGAAGCTTAGAATGTTTCTACACAATTATGATGTCATGTGTTCTTAAGAGAACACTCGGATATTCTTCTGTAGCATTTTCTTTCAGACTGGCCTTTCTGCTGTGAAACAAGGTATGATTTGTACATAGAATGGAACAGTATGTCTAAGAGGCCTGGTCACATGGCACTGTTGAGAATAATGTCTCAAAATAGCACTGACTAAATCTGAAAATGGCTTTTTGAAAAATCTGAAACTTTTTTTACTACAGACTTTCTACACAGAGAATTTTTTATCAGTGATTTTGTTTTTCTTGTTTTGTTTTTTTTGTTTTGGTGGTTCAGAAGTATAGGGCATGTGATAATGAAAACATGGTACTATCACAGGTAGACCCATATTTTACTTTATTGTATTTCATTTTATTTTTATTATTTCTCAATTTATTCAGGGATGCTTCTCATTAATAGGAATAATAAGCCTGAATCTATTTCCATTCATTTCTGATCCCAAATCAGCATATCATCTACTGTTGAATTTCAACGGCACGTCTTTCAATGACTCCAGGAGCTACAGGAGGCCTGAAAAGAATGAATTGTCCATCTCTGGATACCCAATCCCAGGCAGACTATCCCAAATATTCCTGTGGAATAAGGTTATAAGAGGTACAAGATCACATCAGCCATCAGAAAGAAGTTTCCTATCAGGACGTCTTAAACAATAGATTGCCATCATGGAGGTTGGTTTAGATCAGTGATGGCTATGGAAGGCAGAGGCAGACAGTGAAGACCACGGTGCGGTGAATTCGACGATTTGTGAATACTATGTGGCCATAGGGGACAACAAGATGGTGGGTGCCATTACAGCCGGAGAGGCAAGCTCCCTGGTGCCCTCTGGAGCCCTCAGTCCAGGGGAGGGACCTTCATGGCCCATAGCTCCGAGCACTAAGAAAAGGTCTTCGTACTACAAGCATCCTCCTAGGGCTGTGGAGAAGGATGAACAGCGCATGCACTGTGGCACGACAAAACCGTGCTCGTCAAAATAGCGGTGATAAAATCGTGTCGCTAAAGCCGCGACGTCATCGCCGCGCATCATCACCACCGCGACAACAGCGCGGCGACAGAAGGGCGCTTTAAAACAGCGCAGTGGCAGAAAGCGGATTTAAATTAAGGTAAGGGTTAGGTTTAGGTTTAGGGGTTTGCTTTTAGGTTTAGGTTTAGGNTGGCCAGGGGGCGTTGCCCAAAGAGCTTATCTGACTCATCCAATCATGAGAGGACAAGGTCAACCCCATTCTGGATACTCCTCTCCCCTCACTATGGAGAAAAAATAATTTTAATTCTATCATTGTTCTGACAGTTTTTAAACATATAATTTTAAGTTATAGTTCTTAATTTCATCGTCTCTACATCTTTACACTGGTCAAAGTTTAAAATCAAGCTATTATATAATTGCACTAAATTACCTGATAAAGAGCTGGCTAAACTACCTCTTCGCAGCTTGCAGTCATCTTGGCTCAGTTGTCGCTGGAGTTTACTTTTTCCACTAGATGAAAAGATGTCAGGATTGCTGAATTTTCGGCAGCGCAAAGAAATGGATTCTGTTATGACATCCTAGAAAAAAAGGCAAAAAAATAAATAGAATAAGCTTACTCTACAAAAGTTCATGAGGCCTTGTACTGTTTGGATTCCCTCATAGAAATAGATAAGAAATGTATTAACACAAAACTATTTTAATAATTTTAACTGCAGCTATTGTATCAAGCAATACTAAATGAAAAATGCTGCCATTCTTAAGTTCTGTTTTACTGTCATGCAAAAGAGAATTAATATACAATACATAAGGCATCCATGAAAAGTATTGGAAATTTCAAATGATGTAAAATATACCAATTAGGCTATACTAGTGTATAATATTGGGACCTCATTACACTCAAGTTTAATAATCTTACACTGCTTCTCAATATTTCTCTAGGCACTTCAAATGTGTTGCTTTTGACCCTTAACCTGTTTGGAATTTTAATGTTTTTATTAGATTTTAGCTGATTATAAGTTAGACTTGTGTTATCCCACACTGCAGGAAGTCCAGATTGATATCATGGTCAAAGGTATCAAAGGCCACTGAAAAATCCCAAAAGAGTAATGCGTTTCATCCCAGGTTCCTATTTAGGTCTTGTGACAGCACAGTTTCTGTGTCTTACCATGATTTGAATCCTGAGTAAAAAGGGTTAGGAAAATCGCCTCCCTGGAATCAGTTCTGGTGGGAAATGGCAAACTGATGTTCCATAAACCATGGGTGACATTACAGTTGAAAAGCAGTTTGATATAGGATTCAGACTGCTGAAAATTTTCTCCAGATGAAAATGAGATTTTGAGATTACCCATAGGCATGTCAGACAGCTGTTTCAGGTGAGTCGATGGCAGAAACATAGAGTTGTTTATGCTCAACTGGGAGTCACAAGACTCCATCATGCTCTCAACCATTAATATAGCCTTTTTTGGAGACTCAAACTTCAGTCAAATCTCATCTGTTTAACCACTTTGGAATTTACTTTTTTATTAACTATTTACTTTTCTATTTACTATTTATTAAGACTGAAAAATCTTGAAATCACAAATTTGACTTCCACTGGATGGGGCCCCTTCAATCCATTTAAAAAGAAACTTACTGTATTTTTCAGAATGTAAGACACACCGGAGTATATGATGCACCAAGATTTTGAAGAGGCAAATAAAAAAAAAAGTTTTTGCACTCTGCAAACCTCCCAAAAATGGCCCATTTTTCACAAAAACGGGCCCATTTTTTCACCAAAAAAGGCAGGCTGCAGTCTTAAAAGCATTTAAAAGCGCGGCACCAACAGCCAACATTCCTTTTTTGAAAAGAGTCTTTCTCTTTTGAAAAGAGTCTTTCTGTTCCCGAGCAGCTGTCGCATCGCGCTTGCTGACCAGGTCATCCCTTCGTTTCATTTTGTTTCTCTTCACCTTCCAGCTGCTTGCTGCTTCCCTCAGGTATGGAACTAAGTGCGGGGGGGGGGCAGCAGGGGCGGTGGGAGGCTGGCTTACATCAGGTCGCAGCTTCTGCGAGGGAAGGCCTTCAGGCCTTGCCTTGCGAAAGCTGCAAGCTGGAGTATGCCACGTGGCTGAAAGGAGGTGGGCAGTGGCGGGGGGTAGGCTAGCGCACGCCAGCTCACGACTTTCGCGAAGGAAGGCCTTCAGGCCTTGCCTCGCGAAAGCTGCAAGCTGGAGTATGCCGCATGGCCGAAAGGAGGTGGTCAGCAGCGGCAGTGAGGGGGAGACGCTAGTTTACGCCAGCTCATGGCTTTCGCGAGGGAAGGCCTTCAGGCCTTGCCTTGCGAAAGCTGCAAGCTGGAGTATGCCACGTGGCTGAAAGGAGGTGGGCAGTGGCGGGGGGTAGGGTGGCGCACGCCCGCTCCCCA